TACGGAAGTGAGCAAATTTGGCTCATGCAAAAAAAAAAAAGAAGTACCAAACTGTTCCAAATTAATCAAATTTGAAATGAACTAAATTGGCTGACTCCGTATATCTAGTGTTAATATATGTATCAGTTATTTCGAATTGTAAGTTTGTTTTTGATAGATAAAAAGGCTAGTTCTGTTTGGTGTGGTTTTTGGTTTTATAAACTCCTTCACAATGTGGTGTGTATATCGAACTGGTCATTCCATTTGCAACACTTTGAAACATTCTCCGGCAACCCCAGAAAAATTTCTATGGCGGTATTGCCATGTCTGTCTTTTGAAATCACGATGAAGCTCATCATTATTTAAGATTTAGAATCAAAATCGTTGTGGGGATCATAACTGGTCACTGCAAAATTAGATCTCTCACTTCTAAGTGGGACTCCAGTGGAGAGGGTTACTGTCGTCTATGTAAAGACGAAGAAGAACTGGAAACATTTTAGCACATCCTCTGCAAATGTCCATCGCTGATCAGCAGAAGACATAAACAGTTTGGAAGTTATGAAATTGATAATCTAGTCTTCTTCTCCAAAATAGACATTAACCAAATTCTAGGCTTTGTCAAACATTTGACTTGGCTAAAATAATCTCTCTTCCGCCTCCTTTTTCTCACTATCTTTTCTCCCTACTCTTCCACTATCTCTTTTCTTTACAGGTATACATATATAAAGGATGATCACAATGAACATAGTCTACGAGTGAACGGTTGTTACAACAACCGTACATCCCTAACCAAACCTAATACCATAGACAGACGACAGCCTTAATTTGCATTAAAAATTTCTTAATTTGAATTAATATTTAACCCTGACAGACGAGAGTTTCTGCATTTACGAAACAGTTTTTTGCTTCAAAACAATTGTTTGTCTGTGTGTAGAATGAAAATTTTGTACATTTGTTTCAACATTTTTCGGGATTATATCTTTAAGGAATAGATACATGACATAAAGGAGGAATAGCGACTATGATCATAGCAAAAAAGTTCCCGATTTAAAAAATGGTTGAAAATTGCCTGCATTTCTTATTTTTATTTTCATAAATATAAATAAATTTGACAAGAAACAATTAATTTTCGACAGCATTGCCATATTGAAATTGCCTAATTCAGTTTAAATTCAGTTTGATTTTGTGCATTAAGAACACGTAAAAATGAGGATAATGTACAAGTTAATTTGAATTAAGGCTGTTAATGCAGATTAAGGCTGTCGTCTGTCTAGGCTATAAGATTTAGAATAATGAAATTTTGCACATATATTGCTACTGCACTTTTTTGGTTTTGAAAATTGTATATACCGGACTACTTTAGCCCCCATAGAGCAGTACACTCCAATATTCGATATTCTGAAGCTTTTGCATTCGTTCACTCTAATCGTCTGTAATTTGGTATATTGGGTTCTCGCGGGGTAGAAAATTTTTCTACTAAAATTATCAATATTGAAAAATTATCAATATTGGCCCATGTTTCGGGTAGTCCACATATAACGGTACGTCCCAAATATCTATATTATGGGGAAATTGGACAGGAGTTTCAAACAAATTTGTTGTGATTTTATATTTTGACCCATTGACCGGGTAGCCCCCATAGGGTTCCGAATCAAAAAGCTTGACATTGAGTTAAAAAAAATAAAATTTGATATTTTGGTTGTGTTTATTTAAATATCCATTATTTTAAACATTACATGGTGCAACACTATGTTGAAATGAATATTATCCTGATCTTTCTTGTCGGAAGATTTGTCCGTAGAACTTTTTCTTCTTTTGTCTCAAGTTCTTCTGTGTCGTCCTTATTTGAACTGTAAATTTAATATCTCAAGACGAAATTTGTTGATATCTAAAATGTAATTCACAATATAGCAGATAATGTTCTCAAAGATATTGTGTTGGCAGTGCTTTCCTCCAAAATTTATAATTTCTGTAAAAGTCTTCCTAAGAATCGTGTTCTTTTAGATTACCTTAAAATTTCATTAGAAAAATCTTGAAGGCCAAGCCAAGAGTTGTTTGCTATTTGAACCGTAAATTAAATATCTCAGTTCGAAATTTTTTGAAATTCAAATATTCTACAAAAATATAGCTCCCAATATAGCAAAGGCCTCGTTTTGGCAGTGCTTTCCTCTTAAATTTATAATTTCTGTAAAAGTCTCTCTAAGAATCGTGTTTTTCTTTTTAAACCCCTCCTGAATAGGATACCATCTATGAAGATCATCCCATCGTATAATACCTCCAAGGGCTTTTTTCTACAAATAGGTTCCCAAGTGCGTCCAACCAATACATGACTTATCTTCAACACTGCTTCCCAAGGAGCTTTTATCCATAGAAGTTATCACAAGAGCTTTTTACCTTTAGAAAATCATCTCATATAAAAGGAGGAAAATCCAACAATTTATAGAAGGCCTGTAAAAGTCTGATCAATGTCATGTTCTTATAGTCTTTCAGCTCGTCAATTGTCTCTTCAGCTCATAGTTATGGAGACTATCTACCCATTTCGACTCACATTCAGAAATAAATACCACAAGACAAAATTATTTTAAAAGAATGTAGCTCAAAAAATTCCAGATATGACTCTTAAGGACCCCTTCTGGTTTCCCGTATGTATTCATTGTTCTGCCCACATACACCCGATCCGTGCTCAGAAAAACGTATATGTCCCTAATTTTGAACCGATGTTTTAGATTATTTTAAATTTTTTTTATGAATCACCTGATTAACTGTTAACTGGATATGGTTTTAAATCAATAGAATCGTTTATTGCTCAAAGTCGTAAAAAATTATTCAACAAAGCAGAAATTTCATTCCACGTAATCAGCAATGTTTTATTCTTTTTACATGAACAAATTATATTTTGGCTTGAATCTGAACAAGCTTCAAAAAAGCTGGACAGTGTAGCCAAGGTGATTTTTTTGAAACATATCAAATTTCGTTTTATTATGTTTTCCAACTCTTTACTCTTGAAACACATTTAATTCCGTTTCATTATATGTTTTCTAAGATAAATGATTAATTTTATATGGTTAATTCAAAATAATTTCACTTCATTATTCGTTATATCAATTCAGCCTTCGGCATTCAATAAGCCTGAATGCTGTTGAAATTTATATACAAATTTGAAACATAATTAGGTTATTTCGAAAATGGCAAACCAAACCAAATTTCATGCCAATTTTACAAATATTTTAAATTATATCTGTGTTATATATAAATATACACATTTATATGTAAATTATTTATTTTAGTTCATGTCTCATACAATGGAATTAAAATACAGCACTAATTTCAATGAAAGCCTTCGTCCTTCTCAATATTTAGAACTATGAAAAGACGTAGGGTACAAAAACCGAATTGAATGTCCTTTTACTTTAGTCTTGTGTTCGTTTGTCTGTTACTAGGCATCTGAAGCTGTGTACATAGAAGAGCCAAAAGTGTTAAAGGAGCTGAATGTCTTTTTATGTTTCTTTCTTCTCTAACGGTTGTGTGCGTGCGTGCCTTCGTTCATTGTCGTCGGTACCTTTTGCCCATCATCGAACAGGACGGGGGAACTGATACTGCTGCTGTTGCAGCCAACGCTTGAATAGCGACCAAAAAAGCAGAGCTTAATACTTAATAAATATTTTATGTATTGCACCGAATAACATAAAGGCAAGCAGCCAGCCAGCCAGTCAGTCAGCCATTTACGGTGCCTGGTATGTACATACATATATTCGTTTGTATGTACATATATAGCAGAGGAGACACCAAGAGGATGCCCACTTATGTACACAAAAATACAAAATGATGATGTTCACTTTTTTGTCCATGTTGTAAATTATCCTTCGCACTATCTCTGTCCTACTTGTGTTCGTGTCAGGACCAGCAAAAAGCAACAAGAAAAAAAAAATTGGATAACAGGCGACCAACCCAAGCCATAATTTTGTTGGAATGGGTATGCTAAGAAAGAGATTTATGAATATTTAAAGAGGGCGTGTTTGTGTCTACTGTGAGACACACACACACATACACAACGCTACCAATACTATTACAATAATCTCGTTGTTGTTGTTGCTTATGTTTGTTACTGTCGAAGTCTTCATGTCCATATTTACCCTCTCCATTGTCCTAACTGATTTCATTCATATTTTTGAGTAAATAGTCAACAAATAATGTCTCACAGGATATGCTGAGCCAGGAGTGTGAGACAATGTGTGAGTGTGTGTAAGTGATAAGGGGAAAATTTTTGGCAAAGAGAGCAAATTCGTTAAAGATAATTTAATGGTAGTCATCTGCCCACACCATACACAAACAATTGCGAGATTTATCTGTGAAATGCGCAAACTCTCTCCCTCGTTCTCTCTACGAGAGTTGTGTTATGCTCATTTGTGTTGTGTTGATTTCCCCTAGTTTGTGTGGCAATGTTTGCATTGCATCCATGCGTTTGATGTTTGTTTGAATAAGGGTAGTTGGTTGGTTGGCTGCTCGGTCGGTTAGTTAGTTGCTCTCTTGCCCTTTATGTATTTTGCTCTTTTATTGTTTTTGTGTTAAACGGCAACAAATCTACCCTCGATCTACTTCTTGTAGGGGTGTTTTTTCTTTGCTTATTTTTGCTGACATGCAGCCAACCGAGTATGCCAGGAATTTCATAAATTTTAAGCATAGTTTCAGCAAACAATGCTCATCCATCATTCGCCTTTCAACCGTACAAACGTTTAAAACACACATCACACCACCAGCACCGTACTGAAAATTAAAGAAAATAAAAGACAACCCAGTGAAAAAGCAGTTACGACGCGTTTATATTTTGAACGTAACACGGAATAAATGCAAACGGAATTAAGGATATTTTTAAACAAATAATCAAATAATAAATAAATGAAAATTAAAATAAGACAAACAAGTGTTTGAATATATTTTTCTGAAATAAAAAAAAAATCACAAGTGTTTTTAATAAAAATCTATAGAAAAGTGTAAAATCTGCAAAAGAAAGCTTCAAGGTTTTTGAATTGAATTCAAAACTTTGGCGCCCAACATTGGATATTAAATCCCCGGGAGCTGCACCAATTATGGTCTACTTTGTACGTATTTTATAATATTTTTTCTATAATATTAAAAGGAAATATAAAAAATTGTGTAGTGCCAGAATAACTTAAAATGATTTGCGATCACAAAATGATTTCCGTCGGCTTTCCCATTAGATAGTTTTTTTTGTGCAAAGTGTAAAAAACGCATGTTTTATTAAAGTGGACGCCCAAAAAGAATCACAAGATAGTTGTGGAATATAAATGCATATGATTTAAAAGATATTTTTTAAACTATATTAAAATTATGTTTTAAAACTAGTTTTGAATTAATTTCTTGATGACTAATAATCACAGTTCAATAAATAATTATAGTATAAAATGTAGGATATTTGTTATAAAAAATTGGATTTATCGAACCACGAATATTCCAAATTTCTGGGTAATTTGTAGGTTTCTGTCAACCGAATTGGTTACAACTTGGCAGTTTGTATTTTGTGAAACCCCTTTCGTAGTCGATATAGGACCAAATAGAGATTTTAAAGGGATATCAAAGGACTGCTTAAAACTATGTTTTTATCGAGGTACTCCGTATACTGTTTTTCCAGTTTGAAATAACTGCAATAGCAAATAAATAATTAATATTTGTTAGGTATTCTTATTCTAAAATTTTTAAATTGAAATATTTCAGTCTCGAAATATATGCAAATACAGTGTTTTACATTTAAATACTGATTCAAGAAATAATTTTACACCTAGATTTTTTAATGATATTTTGGTATAGTGGAATTTAAAATCTTCCAGTCACATAAATTCCAAATTTATTTTATCCCGAATATATGAGATAATCAGTTTTGTTGCTATATTTGATATTTTTATCCGCGTAACTGTAAAGACTTATATCCTATCAAAGACTAAATAGGAAACATACAAATTGAGGGTAGACTTTAGAATCGGTAGCTTATATATATACAGTATGCCGTTTGGTGTTACATATACAAATTTTTCAATGTAATTTATTTCTATTTAAAACCCCCCAAATTTTTTAAAAATATGTTGTAAAAATTTTAAGACTTATCACTCAATGTTCCCAACTCTCGATAAAGATCGTCGATTTAAAAATATCTGTCTGTTTGAGATTTTAAGTCTTATAATGTTAAAATTGACAGTCCGTCGGTAATGGAGTTCAATTCTGTAATTAAATTGCTTTGAAGAAACACGGACACATCCGTTGATTCCAACTTTTCTTCATTTTTTTAAATATATCATATCCATGACCCTACCACATTCTTCCCTTTATACACAACAAATCTTCTCACAAATATTTTGCATTCTAATTGTATTTAAGTGCTAAATTAAGTTAATTAAATTTATCACGAAAATAAAAAGCCAAGACAAAAAAATAAACTTTCCTAACACGCTGCGAAGAAATTAAAGCGAAACCAAAGAAAAAACTGCAGGAAGTCTAAGAAGTTGAACAAAACACGAAAGTGTGAAAACCGCATTAAGAAATTGCATTGAAAATAAAATGCAGAACTTTTTGCAGTGAACATTCGATCGAAAGGAACAGTTCGATTTCTTCAACCCCCCAATTAAAGAAATAATCACTTGGCTAGTTAAGGGAAGCTAAACACACATACACACTTAGATATATGAAATCGAATAAAAATAACAACTAATTGCGCCAAAAATCCTGCGGTTTTTAAACATGGTGTTTATCCTGTGCCATTCAAACAATCAAACAAAAAATATGTTTTCTCTCAAAACCAACTCTTTTTTGGGATTTAAATAAAGAAAATACAGGACATATTTCCTTTTATTCGATCCTAACAATGGCCAAAAGTGTGTATGTCTCGCCATATGCAAATTGAAATATTTTGAAAGACTTGGCTTGAATTTAATTGAAAACCGCACGGGTTACAATCAAATATTGATGGATTTCTTTTGTTTGACAATGGAATGAATAAAACCCTAAAGGTATTGATTTGATATCCTCTAAAGCACTGGGTTTGTTTGAATTCTTTTATTTTTCTTAAGTTCTCAACAAAAACAGCGGCAACAAAACACGCGTTTTGTTTAACCATAAATAAAACAGCAGTTAGTATGGAAATCATTAAAATAAAATCAATTTTAATTAGTGGCAACCCTTTTGCGGAGGTTAGAAATGATATCCTGCCGTCGGGAAAGTTTTGTGATTTATTTGTTTACACAAAATCGAAGGAGTGCCTTTGCTGGAAATCGAATTGTTTTGATTTGGATTTGCACAACTGTGCACTAATTGCTAGGCTAGATTGATTGACTGACTGATTCATGATTTGCCCAGCAACTAATTGTATTTTCTCTTTTGTCTTTATAGAGTCCTCGTGGCATGCAACCCTGCAGTCCATCAGGCGTTTTAGCGGTAACAATGCCTCCATCAAAAAGTCCCACAATGGAATGTGCTGCTGGTCAAAAAACACCAGAACCCCAAATGCAAAATGCAGCCACAGGCAGTGGCAACAACACCAATACCAACACACCATCAGCGACAGCAGCAGCATCAACAACAACATCATATTCATCACCATTGAGTACCCGTAACTGTCCATTGAAATTTTCCATTGCGAAAATTATGGAACCAGATCAACGTACCCAACAGAATACAACCAGCGTCACAACCATCGCTGATGATGAGCGATCTTGCAGTCCCATTGAAGTGACCAGTGATGACTGTGAATCATCTACCAATGCCAATACTACCGAAGAGAATTATGATTCAGCTTTTAAGAAATATGTACCATCATCTTCAACGTCCAATGGCAACTTGACGTCATCGTCCGCACCAATTGTCAATAATGTTGCATCCTCCAGCTCGGCAGCAGCAGTTCAGCAATTTGTCTCCACCCGTCACCAGGAGTTACTTAGCCAATATCCTCTTTTATATTATGCAGCTCCCAATCAATTGATGTGCGCCGCAGCTGCAGCTCAATATGCTGCCCTCACCGCCGCCCAACAACAATCGCTGTTGGCCGGTAATCCTGCAGCTACCGCTGCCCATTTAAGCTCCTTTACAGCCTCACTAAACTCCCTGCACAGTCAAACGCTACGTCGTCAATTAGCCGCTCCCGGTACCAGCCATCATTTGGCAGCAGCTGCTGCAGCCGCCGCCGCTGCTCAAGCTGTACATCATCAAGCTTTAGCCTCGGCCCATCCACAATTGCAGCAAACCTTGGAGAAGTCGCCTGTGGCACACAAATCCCGCGAATCATCTCTAACTCCTTCCTCAGCCTATCATTCACTAAAGCGCAAACACTCACCCGCCTCTAGTCACAATAACACATCGTCATCGATCAGTGATCCCTGTTCACCACCCGAAGCCCAAAGATCTCGTGCCGATTCGCCCAGTTCCATTGACGACAGCCCAAATTCTGCAAATGGTGGCAAACAAAAGACCTTCTCTTGCTTGGAGTGTGGTAAAGTGTTCAATGCCCACTATAATCTAACCCGTCATATGCCTGTTCACACCGGAGCTCGGCCATTCGTTTGCAAGGTCTGTGGCAAAGGTTTCCGCCAAGCATCCACTTTGTGCCGTCACAAAATCATCCATACCTCCGAGAAGCCTCACAAATGCCAGACATGTGGCAAGGCCTTTAATCGCTCCTCCACCCTCAACACACATACCCGTATCCATGCCGGCTACAAGCCTTTTGTGTGCGAATTCTGTGGCAAAGGATTCCATCAAAAGGGCAACTACAAGAATCACAAGCTTACACACAGTGGCGAGAAGGCCTACAAGTGCAACATTTGCAACAAGGCCTTCCATCAGATCTATAATCTCACCTTCCACATGCACACCCACAACGATAAGAAACCCTATACGTGCCGTGTTTGCCACAAGGGTTTCTGCCGCAACTTCGACCTGAAGAAACACATGCGCAAGTTGCACGACATCGGTAGCGGTCCACTCGATATCGATGAGAACACCAATGAGCGTTTGGAAAGACGTCGTGAATATACCAGACGCGACCAAAGCCTTGAATACCATGGAGGACATTTGAATTCAAATTCCTCCGATGGTTCAATGTCGCCACCCATCAATGTAACTACACCTCCCTTGTCTAGCAATGAAGGCAGTAGTTCAGCATGGCCGACATCTTCTCAATACTCATCCGGTAATCCTCACAACTATTCGGCGACAGCTTTAACACCACCCTCCGTAACAAATTTCCGTACAGCTACCGAATATGGTGGTAGTTCGGCCTTCATAAATTTCGCCCAGTCATCAGCCACACAAGCAGCATCCTCTAGCGCCCATCTCAACCCCAATCATCCACAACACATGGCGACGGCCAATCATCAGAGATTATCGGCAGCAGCCGCAGCTGTTTCGGCAATGGACAACGTACCCTTCATTGCCAAAGTGTTTTGACACAGATACTATGCTGATACCTTGGTTCATCACCACAGCCATCATCATCATCACCATAACCAGCATTCGGGTGCCTCCTATACAGGTTCCACTGTTGCCAATGCCTCCACTTCTGCCGCCCCATCCTCAGCCGCTTATGGAACATCACAAGCTTCGACAAAGAGTATTCTGATCGATTGACTGCAATTTGTTGCCGCCGCTGCGGTGGCATCCATGCCACAACATGTGATGACCGTAGAAACGCACACCGAATACCGGCAATCTTCGGCCATTGATCAGTGTGGCGACCTGCTGCTGACTGATGAGAATGCCAACGAAGATCCGAATTCAATACTGCAGCATGAAAAGGATCTAATGTCGAGTACCACGACATTGGGTACCGCTGTACAGGCCCTAAACGGTCTATTTTGAGAGCACACATCAATAGCTGTGTGGGCTTAAAGAGAAAATCTTAAGTGTCACATAGATAAAGGAAAATAAATGCGGCTCCCATCCTCCTCATGCCATGGAAATTAAATAAAAACAAGAAGAACAAGAACACAACTAAAGGTTTCATTGTGACCTCTGCCGTAGCTTATCTTCAAATACTCCACTGCTACTGCTAACTAAAGTTGATCTTTAGCACCAACAAAACCGCACTGTACCGAGAAAAAAAAACAAATTAAAGCCTAAGCCCCTATCCTATCTAGTATCCGATAACATTGAGTGTGATTTTATTGTAATTTTAAGGAATTTGTATCCTAAATTGTAAAAAGTATAATAATTTGCATTACCAAAAAAAAAACATATTAATATTTAGGAAAGTAAAAGTTATATAATTAATTTTGTATATATAAGTAAATAAAAATAAAATATATATAAAAGAAATCAAAAAATGAAATGGGTTAACACTTATTTTCATCGCATCAAGTAAATGAGAATTATTATTATTGCATATTTGTACATCTAAATGTGTTCCGAACCCCACCCCAAATATACCTACAGAGATAGTTAGCCATTTGTAAATGTTGTACCAGATCGACAAACATACCCACTGCTAATCGTAGTTGTCGTCGATTCACAAATAGAATCTATATTCGAGTCATTTTTATGTTTAAGTCAGAATTAGTAGAAGAAAGTTTTACTCTCACTTCTCTAAATAGAATGAAATATTTATATTTAATAGAAATGTAAGAACAAAATGGTTTTATTAAATAAAAAAAGAAAATAAAAAAATAAATAAAATTGAAAAATATGTTTTAAATTTAATTCAATAAAGGAAATATTTAATGAAATTCATTTAAAGTGGTTTTGTTATTTCTAACGCTGCACCGTATGTTGGCGATACTATGGATCTGGAAATTAAACTTACATATTCGGGATGCATTTTGTAGTTAGAATTATGAACTACGTCGGTGTTCGAGCAAATATGCACTTCTGATAATGATCGGTAAATACCTAAGAACGAGATGGCGAATTGTTAAACTTTTCCATATTTTCTGATTTTTGGCATTGCATAAATATTTTGATAATTGAAACTTCTGTTGAGCGTGTATAGATAAATAAGTTATCAGTTGATGACAAGGTGAGGGTTAAAGGTAAATTTATTAACTTTGCGAAAAAAAACTATGATACCTATAATAACGGGTTTTTAAATTCGTCTGAGTTGCACATGTTTTGACCCAGCTAATATCGAGTGATGCATTTTATCAATAAATTTTACAAAAATTAATCCTAATTGATCTATGTTTTGACTTCATATGAAGAGATTACTACATATATCTACATAGTCAATTTCAGTTGCATATGTTTTGACCACCACTGTATATCTATATTAATAAAAGAGTAAAGTACATTCGAATCCGCTTAATTTCAAACCATTTAATTGAAAACTTTGACTAATTGAAAACAAATGTAAGAAACTAAATATTCTTTAATTGTTCACACATTTTACACCGTTTAATTGAAAATCCTCTTAGGGAACCCCCCCCGTCATTCTCGATTTTAATTTTTCAAGATTTTCAATGGGCTGGTAAATCAATACCAATGCTTGTTAAGGTTTGTAACTTTTCATATATATATATATATATATATATATATGAAGATTTAAAAAGGAAGAAAAATAATTTACAAAAAATGTGTGATAGAGAAAAACGCTTATTTTTGAAGGATGAAGCCCTTCAGCCTTCAGCATCACTTGATGCTGACACAATAAATCGGCTATATCTTCAAGGGTTCTTGAGATTTTTACTTGAAATTTTGTTTGAACATGCATGAATTAGTGCAGATTGGAATTAAGTCAACAAAAATGTTGACCCCGAGAATGGGGGGGGGGGTCCCCTTAAATGAAAAATCGGTTAATTGATACATTAATTACATCCAAAAAGTCATATTTCCTTGAAATCATCTCCGCTTAATTGAGAAAAGACAACCACTTGTCAACATTTGCGTTAGAAAATAACTAAAAATTATTTTTATGTTTGAAAAAAAATATCTTCCAAAAAGGTAAACAACAAATTTAGTGAATTTGTATGAATTGTTTAAATTGAACAAATGTTTGTTTTAGGGATCAGCAAACAAGTACATTTGCCTTACTTTAAAAAAAAGAAATTTTAAAGAAATTAAAATCATCAAACCAAAAATATTTTCAAAAAACGTTTACGAAAGGGTAGTAACAAAGAAGTCGAAGATGCTCTTCTTGTGTGATTTAATCAAATGTGATAAAAACAAGCCACATTGACTGGACCTCTATTGCTGGAAAAGGCTGTTTTTAGCCGAAAAACTTAATGCTGATTTTGTACACAAAATGGATGGCTGGAAAGGTGGAAGAAAAGAGAAAATATCCAATTTAAGAAGGTGCACGGCAAATACGGAGTCGGCAAATGGTTGGTTGCAAAATATCTTAGCTTTAAAGCATTGTCTTCAGGAACATTGGCTAAAAAATCAGAAACATATTCTGGAAAAAAACTGCCAAAATAGAATTACACTTCTGTCTGTTACAAACTCCACTGGCACTGACAAGCTCATTTTCTCATTCAATTCCATTTATTGTGGAATATTTTGCTAACGCAAAAGCATGGGCGACTTCCAAAATATGGAGCAACATTATGGAGGAGCTGGACTCTAAGTTTAAAGCTATTGGGAAGAAAGTGCTCCTTTTTGTGGACAATGCAGCTTGTCATAAACTAAGTGATGGAACTAATTTGGAAAATAAAAAGATAGCCTTTTCGCCAGCAAATACGACGTCATTAATTCAGTCATTAGATCAGGGGATCATTCGATCTTTTAAATGCCAATACCGGAAGAGCATTGTGACAAAACCACTTCTTCATTTAGAATGTGGATTTTTATTGGAAGAATTTGCGAAAACAATTGACATTCTGGAGGCGCTGAAGTTGGTGAATGAAATAAATTGGTATTGAATAAATACGATTGATGAAAGTGATACACATTATGAGGCTTTAAGAGAAGAAATTGACCAACTTATTGACATTGATCAAAATGTGGATTGTTTAGGAGAATTTACTGACGAGGATATTATTGAACAAGTGTCATGCTTTCAAAATGTGGACAAAGAAGTAGAAAAAACAGTGATGAATATATTATAAAGTTCACTAAACCCACTATTAAACAAGCTTTAGTATCCATTAATAATTTAAAAGATTTTTTCATTGAAAATTCTAGTGCTTTAAATAAATTACAAGACCTTGAAGAACTTCTGTAGAATAAAAACATAAACAAATTAAGCCAAACTAAAATTAATGATTATTTTGGTTTAAATACTTAATTTATGATAGTTTTTGTTATGAGTTGAAAAAAAAACATTTTTTTGTTCAAAATGATGTGTGAAACACATTAAAAATATATCAATGAAACCAAAAGACTAAATATATAATTTTAACTAATGTATTTACTGTTTAGAAATACATATTATATATATATTTTTGTATATATTTTTGTGATGAACAAAATAAACTTTGTTTACGTTTTATAATTTTAAGTGTTCGATTTAAAGATATTTGAATTTCAGGTCGCTTAATTGAAACTCTTTTCAATTAATCGAACTTCGGTTAAATGAAACATATATCAATTATCCGGACTTCGCTTTATTGAAAATCTGGGATAATTGAAACAAATTCACTGGATTTTGGCATTTTCAATTAAACGGATTCGACTGTAATTGACTTACTGACTGACTGACTTAGCGCCCAGTCGAAACTGCAGAAGCTAGAATCTATTAGTCTATTAGAATGACACAAAAGTGCTAAAATGAACTAAATATGGTACCATTTTTATTTGTTGAACCAGTAGAGCTAGAACTCTTAAATTTGGAATGAGTGACACTGATAGAGTGTAAAATAGATTTACCAACGGCAATTCGAACTATAAATATCCGAAAAGTTCTAAAATATACTATATTTTGTACACTTTGGTAGCATATAAACGAAGAGAGCTATACTTTTGAAATTTGGAATGCGAATCAAAGATGAGATGCAGGATCCATATAAGGAGGTGGTTTTGGAAGTGTGTACTTATGTATAGAAAAAGTACTAAACAGTACTAAATTTGGTATGGAGGAACGAAATGGAGGAACGGGTGGAGCTGGAATCCTGAAAATTGAAATTAATATTCGGGTATGTAGGTAGTTTTGAAATTTTTTACCTTTGTGTACTAAAAGTATATTTGGTACAATTTGGATTTGGGTTAACTGACAGAGCTGCAACACTGACATCAGGAAATAAGATTACTATTGCAATGTAGAAGAGAGGTAAATATGTAGTTTTGGAAATTCATACTTATGAGTACTATTTAAATTTTGGATGGACCGATAGAACTGGAATCTTGAAATGTGGGATAGAAGATTGTGGTATTTAGGATTTTTTAGAAATTCGCACTAATGTGTACTAAATGGTACTAAGTTTGGTATTATTTGGATTTGGGTGAACCGATAGGCCTGGAATCCTGAAATTGGAAAATAAGATTTCTATTGAATTGTTGAGGTGGGTACTTATGGAAATTTATATTAACCGTTCTTTCCATACAAATGGAAATTTACATCATACCAATAAAAACTAACGATAAATTAAGGTTAAGG